TAAAAATAGTTAAAAGGTTGCTACTATCCATAGTCAGTATCTTCTTGAAACAGCTATTAATAATCAATGAATAAGAGTGTTAAATGATGAATAATAACTACTCATCCATTACCGTTATATTCATCATCGTATAACGAAGCATTCATGTCTAAATAATCCACGTACTAGCTCAGTTAGATGAAACGTTGATACTTTTTCTTTCTGTGCACAGATATAAAGCTAGAAATGGAGAAAAGAACGAATTTTATCATTTTATCGAAAAGAAGGATTGCACGCACGATGAAATTAGTGTTTATTCTGGCAACTTCGCAGATTAAAAAGTTAACAAATTTGAAGGTACCCCTCCCCAGTTTTGCTAGCAGTCTGAAGTACACAAGTGGTACTCTATGCCAAGCTATTTTTTGGAAAAAAGTCTATTTTAGTTTTTAAGATATGGAGATCTCAATATCGCAGACTAAACTTAGTAAAATGTATGGATTTCACTTTAATTTTAGAAATTGAACGAATTTAGAATGGCCAACATAACTTTCTTGATCACTTTTAGGAACATGATAGTCAGAGAAGCCCAAGTTCTACATTTATTTTTCCAGTGAAATCACTAAAGTTAAATGGAAACGGATTCATTTTACTAACTTTTATCTTTGGTATTGACAGCTCTATTTCTTAAAAATTAAAGGAACCTTTTTCTGTGAAATATGGCAAATATATTACAATTTGTGTACTTGAAGTTAGTGTAAGAAGTGGAAAAGGATCCTCTCTAGTTATTCCAGTCTCTATCAAATGGGTATCTTCATGCTCCTATCTTTTTTTAATCGATTTTTTTTCCTCAAACGGTACAATGATTATGCCATTCACTCATATAATTTATATAATGATTTGTATTTTCTTACTGTTTACCATGTACGAAGTTGAGAATATTTAACAAATCTTTTAAAGCAAAAAAAAGAAAATATTTATTAAACTTATACAATATGTCATTATTTTTGTAATAACAGAAATGAAAAGTGTTTATGTGTGAAATGAATGAAGCTAAACAACTTGTTAGTGTTGTTTGCTTTTATAGTTTTTCAATATTCATATTACATATAGAAAAACAAATCTTTTGTATTCTTTGAAAGTTTTTTTTGTGCGCATTACAATACATTTTTCACATATCCTATAAATTTCATAAAATTTCGACATGAAATAGTCAAGGTCGTTTTTGTCAAAACCAATAGGAACCTGAACGTAGAATATGGATGCTACTCTAGACCAAGTAGTCATGCGGGTCTTATGTGCATAAGAAAGCATTTTTCATAGCCCCGTATTTCTTTGATGCAGAACGGGTAGTTATACGGGATACCTGTATTTATGAACCGTTGAGGGCCCGTCATGTAGCAGATGAGATGCGGACCCGTCAATTAGAAATTTTATGGGCCATTTTTCTAATTTTCGAATCCCATAATTTTACCCGTTTTTACATGCAAACAATTTCTGTTTTTCTCTCGTTTGTACTCATACATAACATGGGTCGTTTCTGTATATCAATTCCGTCATTAGAATAAACTAGAAATGAGTATAGAAATTACTAAAAAATGCTGGAGAATACAGAGGAAAAGCATGATTAACTTTTTGTAATCATTTATATTTGAATAATGTAGCCTTACATTGTTTCTAATTTTAGGTTTGCGCGGTGGTTACATAGACATATACGTACAAAAACAGAGATACATTGTTGATTCCCTTAACCATACGCAAAAAGTAATCATTATGAGTTTTGCATAAAAAAGTAGACAAGGAAAAGTAGTCCACCTCAAAAGCGTGCAAGAATGCAGTAGGCGTGTCGACAAAAAAAGGCTCTTAAACGTTTATCCTTCTTTAAAAAATATCATAGATCAATGATGATGTTTATCGCTTATATTAAATTGAAATCGAAGGCCTCTTAGCCAATGCCGGTTATTGTTCATGACGTGTTCTGTCAGTGGCTCGTGGAGCATATTCAAGTTAGAGGGACACTATTCTCGAAACGCCGTGATTCGAACTATTTTTCGGTTGAGAATGCCCATACGGATTACCAATGACCATGTTTATGAAACGCTTGATGGTTATCATTTCTTTCATTCTGAGGTTGTGAATAACTGTACTGAGCCGGTACTTGCTGTCTAGCAACCTGTCTGAGTTGTTCTTTCGCCCCTCAGACAAACATGACCAAAATCCCTCTGACCAAAATCTTGATATCTTACATTCACTCACATAATTCAGGGCTGGGTGAATTTCTTAGGCTTAGAATTAATCGCTTGTCCTCCTATTATATTATTCGAAGTGAGAAAAAACCCTACACTTCAACGCATTAATTATACATTAGATATGCATTACTTCTATTATTATCCATTATCTATCTATTATCTATCTAATAAGAATAGTTTTTACCTAGTAGAATACTAGAAAACTAGAATAGTAGAATACAGAATAGTAGATACGAGTGATTTCACAAAATCAAGAAAGAAAAAAGTGGTCACTGAAGTGACAGTCTTTTACGTAACTCAAACTCTTAAAACACTTCTGATTGCTCTCTCTACAAGTGATAATGGTAGACACAGAGGAAAAAAGAATCAGAAAAATGCTTATCCAGTGATCCGGGCTACTAACTGCTAAAGCGTTAAACCGTAGAAGAGTTTTGTCGATTTTATCGGTAAGAGTCGATAATCGTTACTGTTGCATGCCTATTCAAGAACCCTTTTTCTATAATAAAGGCGAGTTGCATCCTCTTTTATTTATGGGCTGAAATGGGGAAAAATGATCGCTGAAAGATAATCACTAGATAAGTGATGTTCGAAAATAAAAATGATAAATCAGAAAGTCTAAAAGTCTAAAAGTAAGATATCTAGGAATGTAAAAGTCTAGAAGACCAAAAAAGTAAGAGATGTAAAAGTCTAAGGATCCAGAAGTAAGAAATCTAATGGACTGAAAGTTTAAAAGTCTAAAGTCTCAGAAATCTAAAAGTCTAAAAAGTGTTAAAAGTCGTAGTAGATTTCTGACTTCTACACCACCCGAGAATAAGTAAATCTTGCTTTGTCATTCTTTCTGTTTTAAGGTAAAGAAACGAAATACAATCAAGCTATCACTGTTTTGCATTTGCTGAGCAATGCAAAACAATAAAGCTTGAGTTTAGACTTAAAAAGAAAATGTTTTTGCAGAACAGAAAAAGAGTAGATGCATTTCACCGGTTTCTTGTGAAGAAACATAACTCTAAAATTTTTTCAACACAAAAAACTATACATGACATTTCAATTCCATTTATTTCAGATGAAAATAGAAAATATTTTGTTTAGTGTACATTACGAAAGAGCAGAGCACAACAGCAATGGCTTCGGCAGTTTTAAATGCCGTGTCGTCACTGGCCGTTGACGATGAAGAAAAAAATGTTGAAATATTTTCCTTACTATGGTTAGATAAAGATGTCAATACGACTGAGGATAATTTACAAACGCAACATAAACTACGAGAATCAATTAATTTTTTGAAAACATTTAATAATTTGAGTACATGTGAACATTGGATTGGACGACATCAAACACAAGACGAGAAAATAATTTTAATTGTCTCTGGTGCTTATGGTAAAGAAATTGTACCACGTATTTACCACCAACCACAACTAGTTGGTGTCTATGTTTATTGTTTAAACAAAGAAATACATGAAAAATGGGCAAAAAATTATAAAGATAAAGTAAATTCAGAAGACAGATTCACCAATTTTAAAACACTGAAAAAGAAAAGCATGATTAATTTTGTGTAATTATTTATATTTGAATAATGTAGCCTTACATTGTTTCTAATTTTAGGTTTGCGCGGTGATTACACGTCCTAGTGAATTAATTGCACAAATTTCAAAAGATCAGAAAAATCGTCAACAATTAGAAGATGCAGCAAGTTCAGTCTTCACGGCTAGTACCAGTAGTTTCAGTTCCAGTACTTTGTCATCTCTGTCCACGCAAGAAAAATCATCATCTGAATTAAATGGCAGTTTTCTATGGTCACAAGTGTTCATTGAAATCTTATTGAGAATGAAACATGCCGCCAATGATCGTCAAGAATTAATTAACCTTTGTAAAAAAACGTACGTTGGAAATCATATCGAACTTGAATTATTGAAGGAATTTGAAGAAACATATTCACCGGAGGAAGCAGTACGGTGGTATACACGCGATAGTTTTATTTATAAAATGTTAAATAAAGCACTGCGAGTGCAAGACATGGATACCTTGATTGCATTTCGTTTCTTTATTACTGATTTGTATTAAGAACTAGAAGAGTTATCTGGTAATAACCATAAAGAGTCAATTAGACGTGTTTATCGTGGCCAGCTAATGTCAAAAGATGAATTAGATGGAATGAAATTAATCATTGGAAAGTATTTATCATTAAATAGCTTTTTATCAACAACACTTATTCCTAATGTAGCATTTGAATTCATATTAAATGTTGCTCTCGCCACAAATGATTTATGCCGAGTTTTATTTGAAATTGATATTGATCCAGCCTTGATCAATGTGAAACCATACGCTGATATCTCATTGCACAGTTTTTTTAAACGAGAAGCCGAAATTTTATTTATGTTAGGTTCAATCTTCAAAATCAAAGATATTAACACAAGATCCGATGGTATCTCTGTGATTAAACTTGAATTAGCAAGTATAAATAATAATTCTGAGCTACAACAATTATCGGATTATATGAAACAAAATTTAGCTGAAGAACCAAATCTCACTTCATTAGGCCTAGCATTGAAAGAGATGGGCCAATATGAGAATGCAAAAAAATGTTATGAACGTCAAGCAAATGAAATAGATCATAAAAATCCTCTTGAAGTTGCTGCTTATTATACAAGTAAGAATGACTAAGAGAAACAGAGAGAGAGAGATGTTGCTTTTTCCCTACGTTCTATGTTGTAGATCTTGGAAATGTTGCTTATGCTGAAGGCAATTATGATTTAGCAATTGTATATCATGAAAAAGTATTAAAACTTTTTCAATTAAGTATCAATTGTGACAAATATAAAGCAATGAGTTACAATAATTTGGCAATAGCATACCATGACAAATGTGACTATGAAAAAGCATTGTTCTACCACAACCAGGCATTAAATATCTATAAAGAAATGTACGGTAATGATGATCATCTTAACTTAGCCAATGTTTACTTCAACGTTGGTCTCACATGTAATGCCCAAGAAAAATATGAAGATGCAATTACAAATTTCGAACTTGCACTTGAAATTCAAACGAAACTTCTACCATTATATCATTTTGATATTGCAAACACACTTGCTAATCTTGCCACGCCATATGCACACACGGGTGATTCAAAAACGGCATTCGAATTTCTTCAAACAGCTGATAGAATTTATTGTCACGCATTACCATCAACACATCCAGATGTTATTTTTAACAAAGAAAAGATTCAAAAAATCAAACACAATTAAAAGTATGTTAAAAAATTTCTCTTATTAATAAGCACCTCCTTTGTTTCTTTAGCCTCATGCTTCATACAATCATTTTTGTTTTAGCTTTAATTATTGATAACATTCGAAGCCACATCGCAATGCATGTGATAATAGTTGAACCAGCTAATGACTCAAACTTTATTCATGAAAACTATATTTTGTGCCTACAAATTGTTCTAGATGCCAGTGCTGTTTTTCTTCTTTTTACATGAGACAGACAAATATTTTAGTGACTTGAACCAACGAAACGTTTTATTTTATTGTGCGTTGATGGATGATTAAAAAACAACACTTTTCTTCAAAACAATATCGATGTTTTGACACAAAAAAGGTACAAGTTTTTAGCCACATCCGTCGACCTTTTTATTAGGTAATACTTCTAGGGACAAAATTTCATCATCATCATATTGCGTTTCGTCCTCTATCAGACAATAAATTGCTGGTCGAGAACACGCATATTTGCCACAAGTTGTTTCCACTTTGTTCGTTGCATTGCGGCTTGTTCGAGCGCTCTCAGATCATTGATTGTTTTGAGCTCGGCTGGTAGTTTGAGCTGTAATGCAAGTTCTGTTAGATGGATCGACGCTGCGATTATGGAAAGTTCTTTATTGATGACCACCGGAAGCGTGGAGCACCTCTGAACCCGGATTGCTTCCCGCGGAAGTATTGGAGCATGGTGCTTTTGGCTGGTGCATTGCCCGCCATTCTGAGTGTGTGATCAAACATCTTCCATCGTGCTTTCCACACTGAGTGCGAAATTTCGCTGGTGTTACAAACCTTGTATAGGTTTTTGTTGGATATGATGTTCGAATAGTAGACGCCGATGACTGATCGAAGTTGTCTGCGGTGCAATGCGTCCAATTCGCTCGTTTCGGCTTTGGTCAACATCCAGGTGCACGAGTTGTACGTTAGTATTGGCGTTATATAGGTGTTGTAGAGCAGGATCCGCTTTTTTAGATCGATCTTATTGTTTTTTCTGCTTCAGACATGTTTTTCATCGACATGGTGGCCAGCTGTTTCCGCCTCTGTAGTTCTTCGGTGTTACCAAGTAGTGTGCCGAGTTTCTTGACTTTTCGCCAGTCTTCTTGTTTTCTGTCGGTCTCTCGTTTTAAGACTGTGTGTTCGGTCTTGTCGGTGTTCATTTTGAGATTCCAACGTTCAAGTATTCTGGGGGCGGTGGCTGTGATATTGTCGATGTGTGTAATAGTGCCGCTGATAAAGTCGATATCATCTGCGTATTCGATCTCGGATGGCAGTGGATCGTCCGATGCTGGTCTTCGGCATGCTTCTCGAATCTCTCTCAGCGTGAGTTCTGGGTAGATTGTGAACAGAACTGAAGTGACGAATCAGTCGTCACACTGTACACATTCCTCCCAGTCCTCAGGAATGTGTGGAGTGTGACCAACGAGAGGAATGAGTGCAATATGAGCAAGGTGAGCAAGGTGAGCAGTGTGAGGAATGTGAGGAGTGTATGACCAGTGAGGGGAATCTGCGGAATGCGCGGAGCGTAAGGAATGTGCGCAAGGTTAGCCGTCTGAGGAATGTGAGGAACGTGACCAATGCGAGCAATGTGCGGAATGTGAGGAATATGTGAGCAAGGTGATCAGTACGAGGGATATGAGGAAGGTGTGGAGCCTGAAGAGTGAGAGGCATTTGTCACATTCGTCCTCTTCATGCTCACCATCCTTACCTTGCTCCCCTTCCTTGCCTTGCTCACATTCCTGATATAGCTAATATTCCTCCTTACTGCTCACCGTGCTCACATTGCTCAAATTCCTCACACTCCTCATAATTCTCACCTTACTCACATTCCTCAGACTCTTTATTTTCCGCATGTTCGATTTTACAAAAAAATTCATGTTTAAAACATTTTTGATTAAAGAGTCAAGAACGGATTTAAAACTTTTACCAATGTTGATATCGATGGAGTTTTTGATCCGCTACATTTTGGCGTATTTTTTGTTCAAGTTTGATACATGAAGCTCGAAATAATTGAGAAATACAAACTTTTCAAGTTGCAAAAACGTTGCAAGTACTTTTCAAAGGTGTTTGATTTTTGACTTTTTCTCCTTCTCAGATTCGTTCTGAAAAAATATGTCTGGCACAAAACTTGTAGTTCAGACTTTGCTCTTTTCAACAAAAAAAGTTTGATTGGTTTAGAATATATTTGGTTTAGAATACATTTGGTTTAGCAATACAGTCTAACAGAGTTTGACATTATTGCCATTACTTTTGCACCATATGTTAGGAAATGGTATGAATTATTGAAATCCTATAGTACCATATGATAACATTCTTCAATCTGTTCTTCATTTCATGTATTTGATACTCATTTAATTTCAGCATCCTATTAGAGCTGGAATCAACCATGTTTCGCTCGCCACTCTGACATATTTCTGCGAGAGTAACAGAACTTTATTCTCTGACATAGCTGTCGAAAAAATACTCAAAAAAAATCCATGTAATGCACTCTAGAAAAAAAATGTGTTCTTCATGTTTTCAGAGAATGAGTTGAAGATATCATTCAAGGTCTTTGTAATATGAAGAACTTCGTTTTTATTTTTCAATAAGCTATGAATTTTTCACTGATTTCACTTTTTCGGTTCATTTTAGTTCTTCATAACTTTTGTTTTTCAAGATTTGAAAAACACAATATTTCAGTTGAGTTCTGTAAAGATCTCGAAGTTTAAAAACGAAAAGAAAATCACAAATGTCGGTCACCGCGTTTATTTTACGATTCCGAACGTGTATAAAGCGCATGATTTTTCTTAGAGAAACTTAAACTTATTCTAAAAAATTTCTATTTATGTACAACAATGTGTACACTTCGAGAACATATTTGTCCATGGCAATCAAAGGCGGCGGAGCGTCATGAAGCTAGGTGAGGCTCATAGTATTTTTTCTCCTCTTCAACGTACTTTTGCGAAACACGATTGCTAATGTTGAAGCATATAGCGAGAAAAGTAAAGCATCTCCTGGCCTGGAGCACAAACTATGAGAAACATGTCGGCATGCTATTCTAGATGCTTAGACCTCGGTATTTCGGATTATAAAAAATCATTTTTTGGATTTTAGATAGATTTGAAACCCAGAAGTCCAAAACATTTGTTTTCCGCCTTTCAATATGGTCTTGTGACTCCCGTCAGAGACCGTGACAGACATATCGACACGCTGCTCCTTTGTTTTTATCATGGATTGTAATCAATAGAGAGAGAGTCTTCCTGTACGATTAAAGCGACTCCATCGTGTTTCACATTTTGATTTCGTAGGGATTGCATTGAAAGCTTTTATCGAAGGGTCAGGCCGAATATAAATCTTCTTGTTTAACTTCAGAAACAACAGAATAAATCAGTAGGACACAGAAATAATTAAAAGTACCAATACTCAGTTGACTCTGTTCATTCTTCGACGTGAATATAGAACAGATGCTGTTCAAATCAATAGCGTCCAAGCTTACGTACAAGGCTACAGCTCTCATTTTAGCTCATTAGTCTTATTATAGTTGCGTATTTTTATAGCTGTCACACTTTTAGCCCCTTAAATGTTTTACTACCTTTAGTCTCTTACACCCTTTATTCTTTTATTCCCTTTACTCCTTTTGCTCCCTTTACTTTTCTGTTTCATGCATATCAGAACTATTACCCTCACTCTCACTTTATAACTAAAAGTAGTAAAAGGAGTAAAGGGAGTAAACAACTAAAGGATATACTCAGTCATCTATAGGTATAACTTTTTCATAACTAAAAAGATCTCGCGACAAACTTCGTACCTTCTCCCATCTCTGCAAAAACGCGCTATTCAAACGACTTTACATCATTATAAACCGAGCATGAGACAGCCACCACAACCAATATTTATAAGAGAAGTGCATATGTTCGTTCTCTCCAAGAACAGAAACTGCTACCAGCGTATAAAAGGGCCTGAAAATCACAGGTTTAAATAGAGTGTAAAGTCGAATCTAGGTGAGACTGAGCGCCAATTGAGCGAATCTAAGTGAGGCTCGAGCCTCACGAGTCTCAGTGGCTCCGCCGCCAGTGATGGCAATAGAGTTCTAAAATTTGGCTCAAACCCTGCGAGTCGACCATCTATGACGTTTGGAGCCTGATTTGATCCGGGTCGAATCGTATTCCAAACGACGATCGAGTTAGGATATAGGTTATATAGTTTTCTTCACTCTTGCAAGTCCCAAGTTCACAATACAGGATGAGAGCGCAGAGAGCTTTTATAGAATTTTTATAGAAAAGTTGAAAAACAGCAAAGGTCATTTTGTTCCAGCATTAGAGCCCTGCGGGATTGAGTTTTTTCGTCCCGATCCCGAAGAATTCTTTTCGCCAATCCCCATCCCGATCCCGTCCAGTAGGCATAATTACAATTCCGTTAAATCCCGAAATTTTTTTTCGCTCGAATACATGAACTCACCCACAGCTATTGATGAAGACGGAGGGAAAGATGGTTTAGACTTTGGAGAACACATCAATAAGCATATCCAATGATAGCATTTCTCGAGCATCTATTGCTGGAGAAATTCTCGCTATTCCTGCATCAAATACAGAAGTAGAGCGACTGTTCTCGTCTACCAAAAACACTGTCTCCGATCGTCGTACCAGTTTAGGTGCAGAAAAAATTAATAAACTAATGTTTCTCCAGAAGAATTTGTGGACATTGAAGGAAATGGAGAAAAACGAGACAGTTGCATCAACCGTCTCGTCAAGTATCAACTGTGTTGATACACCTGCGTCAAAACGAAAATCACTAGATGAAAATGAACAACTATTTGTAACAATAAAAAAATCTAAAATTCAAATTAAAAGCGATGATATAGATGACGATTGAATTGAAAAGAAAATTAGGCTTTCCCCTTCTGTCTTTCTCTCTGTACATCAGTGTTTAGGCTGTTGAACATACATTTTCTTTTTGATTTTCACACTGATATGTAGGCTTTTAAAGAGATATTGCTTTTATTTATGTCGTACAACGAT